GACCAAGAAGATCACACTTTCTATTTTCTGCAAATGGCCATGCACAATGCATACGCATTGTATAACCACTACTCAACAGATACAAAAAACTAAAACTATTAGTTTCACGCAGTAGGAATAAAAGCCTTATTGGCGTGGAACAGCAAGGAATGGCCAACAACAACAAGCATACCACATGTTCCCGACATAGATGCCAGCGCAGCTCCTCCTGCTGACGCGGCAGTTTCAACACCCAGCCCATCTGGTGCGAGGCGTCCTCTGTTCACCTCAACACCTCAAGCCCACTCATCAACCACAAATTCTGAAATGGACATTGAGGACATAGAACCACTTGATGTTTCTGATTTCATAGAAGATTCTACTACAAGTTTGGTGGTTCCTGTAGAAGACAATATTCCTCCAGTGCATCCAAGAAATACAAGAATTATAGATTCAGAACAACGTCTCAACTACAAGTTGACGCATGAACTCGTGCACTTGGCTAAAAAAAGAAGATGCCGTGTTTGTTTCAAGTCTGGCAAAAGGAGGGACGTGATATATGGATGTAAAACTTGTGATGTGGCACTGTGCGCTGCGCCTTGCTACACAAGGTACCACCGAAGAAAGATATTTTGAGTGGAGAAAAAATAACCACCGGCAACAGCTTCACTCCACCTAAGAAACATCAGATGAGCAACTTCAGGATCAAAAGCCTGAAGATGGTGGAGTGAAGAAAAAATGCTCAACTGTTGATCTTCAATCAACATAGACAGGGTAAGTACACCTATTTGGAATTTTTTATCATCTATAAGAAGTTATATTATATACGTTTTGTAGAGAATTTATTTGCGAATTTTTTGGTACCAGAATGAATATTATATCACAAACTTCTATGAGTAAAAAAAAAAACACAAAGTATGTTTGGGGGTGTGGCGGGTGTGGCTCTGGGTGTGGCGGGCGTGTGGCAGTGGGTTCCCTTTAGCTGTTGATAAATCCAACACGTGGGAAATATTTGTATGTGTTATGTATATGTCTGTGTAGGGAATTTTACTGCGATCACTGTCATACAAATTATAAAATGTTTCAACAAGTATAAACATGACAAACATCAAACGAACGAAAACAATGCGTTCGTTTCTGCCGCAAACGCATACTGAGCGACGTGGTTCTATATTTGGCGCTTCTCTTACACATGCTTTGTACAATTGTTATACATTTCATCTTATAGAAAATTTGATTGCGAACACATTGGTATAAAAAAGAAATACGTACATAGAAAAGTAGGGTCAGGAAACGTATAAATGTATAAACTTTCCAAGCATGATTTCCCCCGTGTTTTCGCCAGTGCGCTCGCGGCTAACTACTCTCCACTTCACACACTCTTGCGGGTGGGCAATTACCTATATTAAACATTCATATGCATATGTCCGTGTAGAGAATTTTATTGCGATTCCAATGATACCAAAATTAGCGATGTAGGACAACTGTAGGCTTCGCAACCATTAAGAGAGTGGAAACATTTTGTTGCTGTTTGGCGCTCTCGGCGAGTGATCTGCATAGTTTTTTATTTGGTGTTGATACTCCTTATGCTTGGGCGGCATTTTATAGGTATGCTCTTATAGACAATTTCATTGCGAACACAGTGATACCAAATTTAAATACGTGCGCCTTCAATTATTGTCAGGACAGTCAAAAGAGTGTACACTTTTTCGGTCTTACCGCGTAGACGCACGAAGTGCCGAAAGCATCTGGGGTATTGTTTTTTTTTTGAGCGCCGAGAGCGCGAAAGTGTTAAGGTAGGGTACAAATATATCTGGCAATACGGTGTTGATGCCAGTGAAAACCAGTCTCTGTGGTGTAGTGGTAAGACACTCGCCTGGCGTTCCGCGAGCGCTTTGTCATGGGTTCGTATCCTGGCCGGGGAGGATTTACTGGGCACAAATCCTTAACTGTAGCCTCTGTTTAATTTAACAGTAAAATGTGTACTTGGTTGCAACAACGATTCTTCGCGGCGGGGATCGTATTCCAGGGACCTGCCAGAAACGCTACGCGTACTAGTGGCTCTACAAGAATGTAACAACTCTTGTATATATATATATAAAAAAAAAAGATGTGTAAATTATGTAGTATGCTGCACGGCCACACCTTAGATTATTGGCATCTTATCAATAACTAGAAATAAGGAAATAAGTAGTATACCACATCATATTGTTTGGATGTGATAATGGTATAATAGACAGTATACTTAGGAGCTACAAGAATTTTGCCCCATGAAAGTAACACTTGTATGCTGTTTACTATATTAACCTGCAATGTTAAATGGGATTCTTGTACTGTGATTTGTGGATTTATACTCGCTGGATTTGTGCGTCCCTTGAGGGACTAAGTGGAGGTTATCTTGAGGTTATCTTGAGATGATTTCGGGGCTTTTAGTGTCCCCGCAGCCCGGTCCTCGACCAGGCCTCCACCCTTAGGAAGCAGCCCGTGACAGCTGACTAACTCCCAGGTACCTATTTACTGCTAGGTAACAGGGGGCATTCAGGGTGAAAGAAACTTTGCCCATTTGTTTCTGCCTCGTGCGGGAATCGAACCCGCGCCACAGAATTACGAGTCCTGCGCGCTATCCACCAGGCTACGAGGCCCCATTGGGGGTAGAAATAGCCTAAGCTACTCATATCCCTTTGAGATGTATTTTATTGTCACAATAAAACGTACTTGAACTTGATGTGTTGACATTAACACTTTCGGTACTCAATTCCGGTAAATGGATAAAAAACGAAACTACGGAGTGAGCGGCATGGAACTGCGTCAATAATTTAACAATTTGTAAAAATTCAGTTTGCTGTCCAAATACTATGGAACTTGTTTTAAAATGCACGCCAACATCTTCCCATTCTCTTCGCCCACGTGGAATGAATAATGAGTAAACAAATTATTAATTAACGCAGGTGTTTTCTACACAACTATGTACTTTATCTTATGGTATTGGTAATGTTGCCCTAACATTTGTTCTTGTATGCAAATATTCATTTAGAGCATTCTATTGCATACTATTTGATACAAAATTGAACGACAGCACGGGAATTGAAGTGAAAAAGTTGAGTATAAACATTTGTGTGTGGTGGCAGCTCTCGGTCTTCCTTGACATAAGGTACCTTGATATAATGTTGCTCAATATAAGCCTAACATGTACACACACTTTGGCTGCCTGTCCCCTGACAATGAATTATAATTATAAAATGCCGCTAGAAAAATCCCTCGCAACAAACGACGACGCTGCAATATTTTGTTACCGTCAAAACAAAGAGTCTCGTCTTAGCAACATTCCAAGATGGACGTTACTGAAAATACTCTACCAAACCCTAAACAACTTATATTAGGAACACAAGGTAAGGAGCGAGGTGCAGCACACACACCAGTCATGACCAGAGAGCATCGGGCCAACATGACAACTCACCACCCCAAGACCAAAGACAAGTACGGGGTCTTGATGGCACGCCTCGTCAAATTAAACGATGAAAATGTTTTGTTTAATAAAGTAGGACGTGTGGCCTCAAAATATGTTGAGACTATAGGGTGTTGAAGGTAGAAGAGGGTAGGGTAGAGGAGAGGAGGGTAGATGAGGGTAGAGCGGGGTAGAGGGCGGTATGGGATAGTAGAGGGTGGTGGATGATGGTAAAGTAAGAGGGTAGAAGATGGTGGTAGAACAAAGGGGAGGGTAGTAGAACAAGCTGGATGGTGGTAGTGGGGTAGATTAGTAGAGGGTAGTAGAGAGTGGTAGAGGGTGGTAGAACAAGCTGGAGGTTAGTAGAGGGTGGTAGATTAAACTAGAGGGTGGTAGACGGTGGTAGAACAAGCTAGAGGGTGGTAGAACAAGCTAGAGGATGGTAGAACAAGCTAGAGGATGGTAGAACAAGCTAGAGGATGGTAGAACAAGCTAGAGGATGGTAGAACAAGCTAGAGGATGGTAGAACAAGCTAGAGGATGGTAGAACAAGCTAGAGGATGGTAGAACAAGCTAGAGGATGGTAGAACAAGCTAGAGGATGGTAGAACAAGCTAGAGGGTGGTAGAACAAGCTAGAGGGTGGTAGAACAAGCTAGAGGGTGGTAGAACAAGCTAGAGGGTGGTAGAACAAGCTAGAGGGTGGTAGAACAAGCTATGGTAGAACAAGCTAGAGGATGGTAGAACAAGCTAGAGGATGGTAGAACAAGCTAGAGGATGGTAGAACAAGCTAGAGGATGGTAGAACAAGCTAGAGGGTGGTAGAACAAGCTAGAGGGTGGTAGAACAAGCTAGAGGGTGGTAGAACAAGCTAGAGGGTGGTAGAACAAGCTAGAGGATGGTAGAACAAGCTAGAGGATGGTAGAACAAGCTAGAGGATGGTAGAACAAGCTAGAGGATGGTAGAACAAGCTAGAGGATGGTAGAACAAGCTAGAGGATGGTAGAACAAGCTAGAGGATGGTAGAACAAGCTAGAGGATGGTAGAACAAGCTGGAGGGTGGTAGAACAAGCTAGAGGATGGTAGAACAAGCTAGAGGATGGTAGAACAAGCTGGAGGGTGGTAGAACAAGCTAGAGGATGGTAGAACAAGCTAGAGGATGGTAGAACAAGCTAGAGGATGGTAGAACACGCTGGAGGGTGGTAGAACAAGCTAGAGGATGGTAGAACAAGCTGGAGGGTGGTAGAACAAGCTAGAGGATGGTAGAACACGCTGGAGGGTGGTAGAACAAGCTAGAGGATGGTAGAACAAGCTAGAGGATGGTAGAACAAGCTAGAGGATGGTAGAACAAGCTAGAGGGTGGTAGAACAAGCTAGAGGGTGGTAGAACAAGCTAGAGGATGGTAGAACAAGCTAGAGGATGGTAGAACAAGCTAGAGGATGGTAGAACAAGCTAGAGGATGGTAGAACAAGCTAGAGGATGGTAGACCAAGGTAGAGGATGGTAGAACACCCTACTCCAAGGTAGAGTAGCAGGGGTGGTAGAGCCCCACATGTCAACAACGTGGCTGGGTGGTACTCACCTTCCTGCCGTACACCTGCACCGACGGTATGGTCTCCTTGGTGGTCATCTGTAACACCAACACCCACACGTCACTCCCTCACACAATATATGCCCCAGGTACACACAGTATAGCCAGTAAGACAAGGTATAAGGACAGGAGGAGAGGCGGAGTGCGGCTTACCTCGGCCAGGGCTCAAGAAGGAAGGGCTACAGCACACCGCACTACCATCCTCACCATCACTCTCCACACCTCATATTCCCTCATTATTACTCTCCTCTCTACTCTTACTATACTTAATAATTATCACTTATTACTTATTCAACATAATCTGTGCACAATTTGCCATAAATTTCTCAGTGATAGTAATTAAATATACTGCGGTAATTGAGCGGGAGATTTCTAAAATTTAAACTATGATCACGTCAGAAAATATTATATCAATTGATCTATTCAGTAATATTTGTATATCTACACAACCGCCCACAAAAATAATTAAAATCATAATAATAATAATCCATCATAAGTTTTCAACAATAATAACTTTCTCTATCAGTGTGTATGGTTATCAAACGCTGTGCGTAAAAGTGGCTTTAGGCTTTATATGACAATACACGAAATAAAATAAGGCTTTATATGTACTAGTTCTATCTATAAATCCAACATTATGTTTGTTAACTTACCTTGTATGTATGTACTTTACCTCAATAAATATTTAATTTTAGTTTTATTTGATAATAAAACCCATTAAATCCCATTAAAACCCAATAGGACCCATTATCACCACACCAGAAATAAATATCTCTTTGATATCCCCAGGGTCAAACTTAATCTGTGTAAACACTCTATGCAAATTAAGGGACCTAGTCTATGGAACTCACTCCCTAGTGAATTGAAAAACTGTAAAACTTTTGCCTTATTTAAAAGCAAAACCAAAAAGTACCTAACTTCATCTATTTAGTTTCCTACACTGAGCTTTAAATTTGCTCTGTACCTAGTGTTACCCAATCTCCTAATTTTTATGTAATATCAAACAACCTTATCATTGTGTTCATTGCTGTCTTCTTTTATGTGCTAGCCATATGCTGTATTGTGACTACCAATTTTTTGTCAACTACCATTCAAGCTGTCATTGCAATCAATCTTATATTGTTTCTGCTGTATTGTGCCTACCAATTTGTTGTCAACTACCATTTTAAGCTGTCATTGCAATCAATCATATTGTTTCTGCTGTACCTACCAATTTGTTGTCAACTACCTTTAGCTGTCATTGCAATCAATCATAGCTACCTATGTGCTTTAATATACTGTACCTATTTTCTCTCATCTTTTTTTCATTCCATGTAATCTGTTATCATTTTTTGTCTATAAATTTTGCAAGTATTTACCTCCTTAAAATTTTCTTAGATTAAGGACCTGCCCGAAACGCTGTGCGTGCTAGTGGCTTTACAAGACTGTAATTACCATATTTGTATCCTCACATTCCTTATGTACATTCTTGTATATGCATAAATAAATAAATAAATAAATAATGTGATAGTATAAACATCAGCAGAGTTGCCAGATCCCAATTGCGGAAAGTAGCGAGCTGACGGTCTAAAAGTAGCGAATTTGTCATTAAAGTAGCCCAATATTTTGTTTAGAGGCTGATACGGTTTTCAAACCAATATATTTTAGTAATTATATTTATTTTATAAATATATACGAGAGTTTTTACATTCTTGTAAAGCCATTAGTACGCATAGCGTTTCGGGCAGGTCCTTAATCCTGATTTTTCCCCGGAATACGACCCGCTAAATCGTTTAACAAGTACCCATTCACTGCTGGGTGAACAAGGCAACTATCAGGGGAAAATCGCCAAGCCATTAAGACTATACAACACTTGGAAGGAATCAGGATAAGGATTTGGGATGGGACCGGGGAAGGAATGGTGCCCAACAGTGTTGCCAATTGGGATACAAGTAGCGGCTTGGGCTACTTGTGATTTTTAATTTTGCTACTTGCTACTTTTTTGGGCTAATATATATATGTAGATTAGATAGATATCCTTCCCTCCTGGCCGGGGAGGATTTGCTGGGCGCAAATTCTTAACTGTAGCCTCTGTTTAGTGGTAGTAGTAGGCATCCTTCAGTCTCGGAAGACTATGGAGTTGCTTTTAAAGCCTGGGTAGGTAGATCTTTACAGTCTCCGTGGTGTAGTGGTAAGACACTCGCCTGGCGTTTCCGCGAGCGCTATGTCATGGGTTCGTATCCTGGCCGGGGAGGATTTACTGGGCGCAATTCTTTAACTGTAGCCTCTGTTTAACGCAACAGTAAAATGTGTACTTGGATGAAAAAACGATTCTTCGCGGCAGGGGATCGTATTCCAGGGACCATAGGATTAAGGACTTGCCCGAAACGCTACGCGTACTAGTGGCTGTACAAGAATGTAACAACTCTTGTATATATCTCAAAAAAAAAAAAAAAAAAAAAGATATGGAGGAGAAGCTGTTGCCCATGCAGCAGGTCCCCCCTCTCCACGTTGCTGAAATTATCCAATAGAAAGGCAAATGCCAATACACATGGTTCCAGCAACGTCGCAGGAGCTGCCAGAACGATGTCGACGTCAACAACGAACTGCCTTAGGGTGACGGGAGACATCTCCCGTCACGCAGCGTCACGCAGGGTGCAGTCGCACCTGCACAGATCTCCAGTATCATCCATTGATACTGGTAATGGCTCAAAAGGGCCACCACTTACGGGCTATTCACACCTGTGCCACCTTTTGGGAGGCTTAATCTTCATCAATCAATCAATATAACAGGTAGAGCAGTGGCAGTTTTTGCTAGTGAGTCTGCCTTTTCATTACCCTCTATGCCAATGTGACTTGGTATCCAATTTAGGGTGATTGACAGCCCTAGATTATGGGCTTCTTTTCCTATATGTTGAATTTCTGTGAGGAGTTGTATATTATCTCTGTGTTGACTGGATAACAATGCCTGGAGCGAAGATTTAGAGTCTGTATGAATGATGACATCATGTAAATTATTCTCAATTGTATAGTTTATTGCCTCATTCAGGGCATATAATTCTGTTTGCAATGTTGAGCACCCACTATTCATGCTCCAGTAAGCTTCATGGTTGGTAGTGTAAACTGCTGCCCCAGCAGAACCTCTTTCTTGATCAACTGATCCGTCTGTGAAGATGAGAGTCGTTGTAGGTCTTGAGATGGTTTCCATTTGTTGTTCTATTACTTCCTTGAGCCTCTGCGAAGATGAGAGTCGTTGTAGGTCTTGAGATGGTTTCCATTTGTTGTTCTATTACTTCCTTGAGCCTCTGCGAGACATGCTGATTTTTTAACTGGTAATCTTTCAATGATTATCTTTAGACTCGATTCTTCCCATGGAGAAGGCTGCCGAAAGTGTTGATATGGTCTATCTTCCCCTTTGTTTTTAATGGTCCATTTCAAGTCTACTTTCTCTAGAATCTTGACAAGATTATCCATCCATGAGCTTGTTCTATATTGAAGGTTTTTCTGAAGCGATCCGTGTATGCTGTCTTTGATTGACAGTCTGGCGGTGGTTCCAACAAGTTGTGCTGTTATGCTGGCTATCCTTTGTTTGATCCTGTTTTCTAATGCTGGTAAGTTGGATTCCATTACAAGTCAAGTATTGGACATATATATAGGCAGGAGAGAGAGGTGAAGTGATGTGAGGTACAATGACAAATGAATGGGAATTAGGTGGACACAAATATGAGCCGCATAAGAACTGCAGAAGGCCTATTGGCCCATACGAGGCAGCTCCTATTCATACCCACCAATAGGCCCACACGTGGATAAAAATAATAGCATAAGATTGCAAATATTTACAATGAATTAGTAAGACAAATGTGTATCAATGATCCTACTCAAACCGCACTTTAATTGATCTATCAAAAATAGATCTAAGTTATATAAACCACTGCTAATGTTCAAATTACATTCTTTTGTAACCTGTATTAAAGCAGATTCAATTATGTTCCTGTTATAAGTGCTTTTACAATTCGTTATTGAAGAAGTCATCTCCCAGTCAATTTGGTGAGCATTTTCTGACAAATGAACAAACAAAGCATTAGACAATTGGCCATGTCCTACAGAGTATTTATGGTCACTCCCTCCAGTATCTTCAGTCTTACCTTACTGACGGGCTCCAGTATGTTTCTGTGAATAATTCCATTTCTCCCACCCTACCCATCAACATTGGTGTTCCTCAGGGCAGCATACTTGGCCCTCTCCTCTTTCTCATCTACATTAATGACCTTCCAAATGCCTCTCAACATCTCAAAACAATTCTATTTGCTGACGACACAATCTTCATTTACTCCAGTCCTGACCCCCTTGCTCTAAATGCCACAGTAAATACTGAGCTAAATAAAGTCCATCTGTGGCTAACTGCCAACAAACTCACCCTTAACATTGACAAAACTTTCTATATTTTGTTTAGCAATAAATCCTCTAATCAAATTAATCTAAGAATAAACAATATCCAAATTACTAACAAAGTAGATGGCAAATTCCTTGATGTTCTCAACGATAACAAACTGAATTTCCAGGGACACATTCTAAATATATAAAAAAAATCTAAAACTGTTGGCATTCTTTCTAAGATCAGATATTATGTACCTCGCCCTGCCCTGGTGACTCTCTATTACTCCCTCATCTATCCTTATGTCAATTATGGTATTTGTGCTTGGGGGGTTCTACTACCCAAAATCATTTACGTCCTCTAATTACTCAACACAAAGCTGGTATTAGAACAATATCTAACTCTGGCCCCAGACATCACTTGGTACCCCTACTCAAATCTCTGAATATGTTAGACATTAAGTAACTGCACATCCTCTCATATGTACTCTGTATATTTAAAACTCTAAACTGCCACTAAGAACTGTGGTCAATTGTTTGACCACAGTTGAACTAAGGTCAATCCTGACCTTAGACGCTTCCTAGAAGGTTGTAACAGAACCCATGAGCACCACACCAGAAACAAATACCTATTTGATATTCCAAGAGTACGACTTAACCAAACTAGAAATGCTCTACAAATCAAGGGACCCAGAATGTGGAATGGTCTCCCCAATCATGTCAAAGGCTGTACCTCTCTCAACCAGTTTAAGTGTAAAACGAAGCACTACCTAATTAACTCCCTGTAACCTACCTTACCCCCTAAATGTTAACCCATGTCTTGCTCTTGTTAAACAATGCTGTTTGTTCATCAACTTGAACAATTGTTATCATTTTT